CAGTTTTACTGCACAGTTTACAATTTTGCTGCATAGTTTACATTTTTCTGTGCAGTTTAGAGTTCCAGGTCAGTTTGCATTCCCACAAAAATGAGCTGTCTGCCACTGGTCTCTTTGTACCCACCTTGACATCAGCCTCAATGCTGAGTGTCTAATTTGCTGGATCACACTTTTGAAATGATTATCAGCTAATGTGAACCAGTTTCATAATTATTATAATTTGTGTAGTTAGGCTCTTAAGATAATGCGTCAAAACACAAACTGGTGAGGTTGTGCTTTGTCTGTGTTTGATCCAAGCAGCATTTGCTTCAGTACACTTGCTCTGTCCTTGTACCTGGTACATCCTGACAAAGAGGTTACCGGAATTCGACAGATCCTTAATCAGCTGACGGCATAAATAAATGTAGCAGTGCAATTTAATAAAATTGTATTGATGTAATTTAGTACAACTTGGTTTATTTATATGGTACAAGTGGTGGACACAGCTAACCAAAAAGTTAGCTTAGCTAACCGTCAAACAGATTAAAAAAATTAAATAACAATATTGGAAGCTAACGCTAAAGCGCTAACTTTTGTCCTACACTGCTGTCGCTGACACTGTAAGACTGTCTATAATGTGACAACATGGTGAACACAACTCAAAATGGTCCATGAATCACAGGTAAAACGTTCATGTCACGTTCAGAGGTGAGCTTTCAGAAATTAATCCGGTGTTGTGCCATAAAGTGACGGTCAGACAAAAACTGATCAACCGCCGGGGGAGCATGCACAGCCTGTTCATGTGTTTTTATGGAAGGAGTTGCTGATTCAGTTCTTCCAAATTTAACCAGATTAACACCTAAAAATGATTATTTGTTTACTCGAGATTATAGCAGAGGTGTGTCTCCATTTACCTTTTATTTATTTTTTTCCAAAAACTCAATATTCTCTCCGTGAGTGTCAGTCTTACTGAAATGTGATAAATGTAACTCATGAAATACTCAAATGTGAAAATAAATAGTGCTTTTTGCATTGAGTCTGTTGATCGTGTTTGTCTAGTTTTCCTGAATTATTACATGCCATGCTGTTTTTCTTGTACAAAGTACTTTTAGTTACCACAAAGGTCATAAATAGAAAGTGTCAAACCTGACAAATGTGATTAAAGTGACAAGAGTCACATAAATAATCAGTTTTAAAGATAATGACCTAAAACTTGGTGTGGTAGTAGCTGAGAGTCATCCCCAACACATACTCTGAACACAGTATTTTGGCTTGAACCCTTAGAATTAACTGTTAGCATCGTCCTTGTTTGTCTGTTAGCAAACTGTCTCATGAAGCACTGGACAGACTTTAGTGAAACACTGGAAGAAATCCTTGGATGAATGTCTATAACAGATTAATTTTTAGAGTCAAGCCAGTTCAAGATGGCCACCACAGCTAATCAACCCAAATTCAAAACAACAATAACTCGGTCGGTTTTACAGATGATCTAAAATGTGGTGTGGTAATGGCCGAGTGTCATCCCAACACATACTCTCAGCTCCAACAGAGTCCATCTTTGGTTCTTGATCACTGATCAGTTTGGAGAAATCATCCTTAAATCCTTAACCTCCTGCATGGACGTGTCTGGAGGGTTGGTGTTTGACGTTCTTCAGCTCAGACAGCAGGACTGGACAGGCTGTACGGACTCCACTGAGCACCAAAAATAGCATTTGTTAGTCATGACATCATTCTACCTACTGCTGTTCACATATGTTTCATTTTGTGTCACTGCCAGAGTGCAAAGGCGCAGGGCCTCATATATTTTACTTTATGTTCTGTATTTAAAAACTGAATGTTTGTGTTACCCTCGGATCAATAAATTAAACATCTATATATTGTATGGATGGATGGATGTACTGTATGGTATATGGATGTTGTCGCTGTTGTCCATTGTTGTCATCATTCTTTGTTGAAATCAGGTCTCTCTTGTAAATGAGTCCTCGAGGCTCAATGGGATTAACCTGTAGAAATAAATGTTGAATGAAAAAATTTTATCCAAACTGAGGATGTTAAAAGGATATCTACAACAAGTAAGATATCAAACATTTTTCATAAAACCACATAAAATTGGTTGGAATATTACTTTAACTTCATGTTGTTTTGCATTTTCATAAATTTGGTCAGTTCTAATATTATTTAACAATTTAAGTGATTCAATCTTAAATATTTGTTTGATGAAAATTTGAGCCAAATCATATTTATTTTATTTTTACCACCGACGTCACCCCCTTCCTTTCTCCTCCACAGCTGGGTCCTCGCCAACCTTCTACACTAAACTAATCCAGTCATTTAGATATTTGTCCACAGCTTAGATTTGGATCCAGCTCTTTTTATTCTCTCTCCACCGGCCGACAGTCCTCAGAACCTGGTCTTGTGTTTCTGGCAGTACGGATCCAGCCGGCACCTGTCTGCCCAGTGGGAGACTCCCACAGTGGAAGTTAAAGAAGGTTGGATTGTGTATTTTATGACCAGCTCCTTTGAGCAGATCCAGTCCAAGACACGACTCTGAGCTCCACTGCAGGTTTTTAATTCACTGAAGGACAAACGTCACATCCTCCCATAGATTTAGTCCTAATATATTCAGTTTTGTTATTCCTGTTTATTTGTCAAGGTTATCTTAATCCTGTGTGCGTGCGTGCATATGCGTGTGTGTGTGTGTTGGCAGTGCAGTAGTAACAGATTGCTTTGGATCCTGCTCTTAAAACACATCTAAGATATTTTTGTTGTTCTATTTGGCCAACAAAAATTCAAAGAATAAATACTTTGGAACTAGTTATTGGAATATCTCTTTAGAATGAAAACATTAAAAAGTTATGTCTGCATTGGTGATTGTACAGAATATACGTATGCTGCTGCAGACCTAAAGGTTCATTCATGAGATAATGTAGTAAAATTGAACCAGACTGTTATCTCAACCCAACACTGACCGTGTTGCTGTGTGAACATGTGTGCTGAGCACAGCATTCAAACATGTCTGCTGGCCTTAGTACAGGGTACACTGCTTTGTTGAGTTTATTCTGTAAGAATAATTTCACA